AAAAAATTATAAAAAAAGTAAATAAGATAAATTAAAAATTAAAAAAATTAAATTGATAAAAAAATGTAATAAATAAAAATTAAAAAATAAGAAGAAATTATTAAATTAAAAAATAAAAAGTGATAAAAAAGTTGAAACTAACCCCGCAGCCCTGCCATCTGATTGCCATTCTCCATTGATGGGAAGGAGGGGGGCGTATTGCGGAACCTGGCCTTGAGACGGCAGGGAGAGTAAATCCGGCCCTGAGTGTGGTCATTGTTTGGTGGTCTCACTCACCCTTTTGTACCTTTCATTCATTGCTTTACTACTTCACTGTTAGGGAGATTAGACTGTTCTGCCAAAGGTGATGGCGATAGACAACAGCATATAGAAATGTAATTATAGATAACTTTTTTTTTTACCTAAAAAGGGGCCTGTAGCTGTACGTATTAGGATTCATTGGGGAAATTGCTGATCTAAGGAATTAATCTAAGTCTTAATAATGAGGTCTAAAAGGATTTTATTATTCTCTGCCTTAAGGATAAATTGGATGGTACTTCACTTGGTTTTAGTTTTGTCCTCTTCTTAATCAAAAATGAACACTTTTATGAAGTGTAACCTATTCTTTGTTGTATCTCACACATAGCTAGAATAATCATGACATTGAAGAAGCGTTATCAAGCCAGCTAGCATCTACTTGCTCAGGGCCAGAAGGTAAGTGGAAAAAAAAACATAGCGCAAGCATCGTGGCATTTTGATAAGTACAGGTACTTGTCAAAATGCCCTGTTTTTTCCGCCCTCACCCTGCAGCGCCCTCAGGCGGCCGCTTGCCTTGCCTTGCGGTAGCACCGGGCCTGCTAATAGGAAAATATGTGAATGATGCTTTCACCATAGGACAGGCTGGTTTCTGAGGATATTTAGGTACCTGAATTAGCCTGAGGGCAGCACAGTGGCTTAGTAATTAACACTTATCCTGTACCACTGGGATGCCAGGGCACAACTTGCATAGAGTTTGCATGTTCTCCTTGTGCTTGAGTTTTCTCCAGGTCCTCTGGTTTCCTCCCACATTTGCTGGTAGGTTAATTGGGTTCTGTCTAAAATGGCCCTAGTATTTGTGTGTGGGTCCAAAAATCCAATGCAGACATCGAGTGGCTAATGCAGCTCTTGTAATTAAACATGGAGCCACAAAAAAAATAAGGCTCCAGGGATTGAAGTGCACCGAAGATTGCAAAGCAAAAATGATTGTGAATGGGAATTTTTCTGATCTGGGTGAATATATATACGCATTCCTAGGGTCCATGCATGTCAGTTTTGGGGGCAATGACCTTTCATCTAATTTGTGCTATTAAGGTGTATAAAATCAACAATATGGTTTGCTACTTACCACAACCCTGAGTCTATAATAGAGCAATATGTAAAGTACACTAACTTATAACTAATCTTCAATTATCTCTCATTTTTCCAACTGCATTAACTGCAGAAAAGTGAAATCAGATCAATACCTTTATTGATATAGCCAGATGTGTCACACAAAATGTCACCCTGTAATATGTCTGTCATGTTTCATGTCAGATATTACAAAACAAAAAACTTCAGTCAACTAAGCTTTATTGTTAAGCATATGAAAAAGACAAAGCAAATCTATGAATTATTTAGCAATCATAATGTCATTTAATATATTCAGACAGGCAATACACAATGTAAAGTTGCCGTTTGAAAAAAGATCCAGTGGGTGCCTGCTTTCAGAAAAAGAAAGAACTTAAGTTAAAAGTATAATTGCTCTTTCATCAAACATTGGGGTCTAATTATAGACATATTCCACGATATTTCCACAACTTTTACACAAGATTCACACATTTTCTAATGGGATTTATTTGTAAAAATGTGTGAATTCAGGGTAAATGATGTGTGAAAAAATATAAATACACCCTTATGCATGTGCACTTGTCTCTGCAACTTATGAAAATGCCAATAATAATAGGTTACCTTTACTAAAGATAAATCCTTTTTCCAGCAGCATGACCTGGCCCAATGTTGCTGCAAGCCATTAAATCCTGACCACTACTAGAAGGCTTAGAGACAGGAGACCTCCCCTTCTTTGAGCTGAATGAACAACCTGTCTACCAGGGATAGAATATTCAGAGCACAACAGGATCTACTCAGAGCCAAGAGGCTGCAAGGCAGGACTTCCCTTCCGTAAAGGTAACACATCATATGGGCTTTTAACAGACTGCTGAAACAAGTATAAACGTACCATTTTTAGTGAAAGTGCAATTATACTTTAATATGTTACGCAGAGTGCACAGGAAGTGAATTAGATGATTATTGATAGTACAATTTTCAAAGCCCAATTGAAATCTCAAACCTTTTAACTATGTATAGCCCGGTATCCCTGCATGTTATGATCTTTGGCTAGGAAATGCCTGCAAACATTTTTCTTTCAGTAATAATGCTACCTCCAGCCTTCACACTGCAGTGCACTGTACTGGCAGAGCTGAGTATCAGCCACACCCCTTATCAAAAGCTTCCCGACACAGATTTGTATAACAGAGAATAGGAGTGAGTGTGCCTGACCAGGACTGCACTGGACTGGCTCTAACTACACATTGAACTACACAGTCTTAAGATGGCCATATGTGGATCAAATTTTGGCAGTTTGCTGCCAAATCAGCCATCATTTGATCCGTGGGTGTCTCTGCTGACACCACCCAGCTTAACAAAAGTTGATTTTTCAATCCACACTCTTTGGTGTGGATAGGAAAATCAAGTGATTTCTCTTGTTCAGCCCCACAAACTTACTGTATATAACCAGCTTTATGACTCCCTGCAAATTGTGTTTTTGGTGTCTATTTAACTGCATATTTGTTTCTGTGTTTTCAATTGGGCTTTAATAAGTGTAACACTTTATTGCGCTGAAATGCCATAACCCAAGTTCTGATATCCTTACATGCTGAACTTTTAAAAATAAGATATCTGTTAATCTGTTAATCCCCTTTTACTGATTCCATGGTAAAATTATTATCTCAAACAGAATTTAATAAAAACTAGACTGATAGGTCTCACCTACAGATAGACGAAGGGATTAAATGAGCACAATCGAATTGGCTTTTAGTATGACCTGGCAGCACTGCCTCAAATATTGGGACTTAAAGGGAACAGTCTCCAAGGATTAATGTTTAGTATGTGCAAAAAGGGCTGCCCTTGGCAGTTACAAGGAGTGATTTGGACCTAATTTACCATTCTACCATAAGCTGTCGGGTAGCAATATTTAGATCATAGAGTCTAGTCGGACCACAGTAGGGATAAATTTGCTGACACATTAGATTTGTTTATTACTTTTAGATGACATGCAGTAAATAGTAATTAACAACCCATAAAGGAGCCTGAAATTATAAGTCATGTCTACAAAGATTAAAGGGTTATTGCAATAACCTCCACATACACTGTCAGTACAATCTGCACTTATCCAACAGGCTAAAATATCAAGCAAAACAATAAAATTTGGAGTATACATTACAGCTGCACTTCTGGGAATACTGACGTTTTTGCTCTAAGAAAATGTTCTTTAGTGCGGTACGGCAAGTACTCTGTGCTAGATTTGTATGCAGAGTTACAGCCCTCTAGAGTGCCTGTAGATGCCATTTCATCGTCTCAGGAATCCGCTGACACTTTTGGTGAATTATACAAATACTTAGAGTGTACAAAGCCTGTTTTTTTATATGAATTCATTTTTCTTTTGGTGGAGGGGCAGGTGCAACTCTCACATCCCTTGTGGCTCCTGCAACACGAGGATGTAAACGAATATCTTCATCTTCAGTTTGCTGTTTAGCAAAATTTACAAATACCTGTAAAGCACAAATGATATATATTATTTATTTATGATTATTTATTACATGGTATTTAAACATAGTTGAAGGATGGAGCATGAGCGGTGGAATGGGTTGGCACATCACAGGACAGGCAATATAGTGGCTTAGTGGTAAACACTTCTACCTTGCAGCACTCGGGGGTCCCTGGTTCAAATCCCTCCCACAGTCCAAAGTCATGCTGGTAGGCTCATTTTCTTCTGTCTAAATCGGCCCTACTTTGTGTGCATGTGATATAGGGACCATAGATTGTACGCTCCTTGAGGGCTTGTTCACACCATCTGCATTTGGGCTGCGCTGGTTGTTTTTTCCCAGCACAGTTCGAGCACAAGACAAGGCATTTTGCCTTATCATGGATGGTGACAGTTCACACCACTGCATTCTGGTGGTGTGCACTTAGAAAAAGTATGGCATGCAGTACTTTTTTTTAAGCACACCTCATTGCATTGCACAAAGCCCATAAAACGTAATTTTGGATAGTCATGAGATAAGGGTAATGATCAAACAAATGAAGCTGTGGTGTATGCAATGAAACTAAGGTTTCTCAGATGGTTTGTTTGACTTAAAGCCCAACTCCACCTAAAGCATTTTTACATTTTGGATGAAGAGGGAGGGGTTAGAGCCCCTGTGAGGGGCAATTATAGGAGATAATCGGACATCTCTCCAACAGGAACACAGAGAAGCAGATAAAAACATATTTAATAGAGGGGGAAAAGGTTAGAACTTCTGACAATCCTGCGCCATGAAGGGAAAGGGTACAATATCTCTGGAACGGACACCCCCCAACTGCTTCATACTCACCTTATCCTATGCTCTCTCACAGCTCTTTACTCCTCTGCAGCCAGCACTAAGATCAGCTGTCTTCGCGACCTGGGTGAACAGTGACATCACTCCTTGGATTATGTGACAGTGCTCAGGCTTAGCTCAGGCACCATAACATGGAAGCACGTCACATGTTTCTCCATAACCAGAAGCAAAAGTTATTTTCCCAAGCTATGGAGAAGCATGGAGCTACGAGTAAGCATAGGTAAGGTGAGTATATGGGGGTTGGGAAGGGGAGGCCCTTTACAGAGACACTGTCATCTTGAGCTGCATGGGCAAAGTGTCAGTGTCTCAAAAGGAACATGCAAATATTTTAATGTCCATAGCCCGACCAAAGCTGCACTTCAAGTTCTACCAAAATGTATGAGAATGATGTTGATAGATAATGACAAATCTTAGAACAAGGAGAGCCAGTATTGTGGCGATTCTAACAAGTAGATCGATGTAATCTTACACCCAACATTAAATGCTAGTCTTAGTCTCCTAAGAGTCTACACAATCAAATATATTGTACTCGTGTTTATCTTTTTATAGACAATTTTATGTATTTTGTAAAAAACAAACCATCTTGAACTGAAAACCTAGCTTCACGTCAAGGATTATGGTCAATGTATCCATAGATTGGGGAATAATGAAGATAGGATCAAGGTTGAGTTGACAGTCCATCATGTATTACCTGGTCTAATGTGGTCTGAGACACAGAGTATTCCTCAATGTTGAGGCTGTCCTTGTTGGAGATGAGTAGCTGAAATATTCTGGCCAGGGAAGAAGATGATATCTGATACTGTAACATATTGTAGTGTTTCTCCCTCTGTAAGCTGCCAGGGAAGTTGGCATTGATAAATTTCTCTACAGGGCCCGTGTCTGGAACTGCTCCAAGCTTTTGGGCTCTCATTTTCATGGTTACAATATAACCATCCCCAAATCTGTAGAAGAAAAACACTTTAACCAATAATGCAATATAAAGAAGGTTTATTAAAGGTTCTTAGTTGTTTAAATACAGAAGAGCAACGTGAAAGACACTGACTCAATTTCTCTTCCAGGCCCTCCTTCTTCACTGCTCAACCTCCATTTGAGCACTGAGGAAGTTCTCACAAGTGGAATGGTTTTAAAGCTGAATCTGCTTATATTTTACCTTTACTGGTTTCTCTGTTACAAATTTCATTAGCATATTGATATTGGGGTAAGTAAAACCTGTTTTCATTACCTACCTTATTTTAGACCCAGTGACATCATCACATGATTGCTATGCTACTGTGTGCAAAGCAGGCAGACCATGGCTGGTGCAACGGGCCAGCAATATGTTGTTAAAACATCACAGCACCCTGCCCCAGTACTCTTAAGAGTCACATGCCCTGATGCAAGCAGTGGGTTGGCTTTTGGGAGGACCTATGCAAATATCAAAATGCCCTAATGAGTGGTTATCAGTCTGGAAGAGTAGACATTCTTAGGCAGGCTGCATTTGCACCCATGTGATTGAATGATTGAAAGAACTGAAGTCCAATGAATGAAAGTGTAGGCCAGAGACAGTAAGGCTGGGAAGGACAGAGCTAGATGATGCTGGATATCCTCTAGCCAGGAAATGAGGTGGGCTCTTAAGGACTTGCTGCAGCTTCTAATGCATAGTAACATCAGATTCAGCAATATCAGTATAGGAGAGGAGTCTGTGCAACTGTGCAATACTGAAGGTAAGGCTGGAGTTCAGTTTTTAGTGCCCAGAGAACTCTGGGAAAAGAGTTCTCTCTGATATCACTACCCATATTTGGTATAAGTCCATGCTGGGTTTTTTAAATATAAAAATATGTAACAAATTAACCATTGAATTGCTGAACCCGCATTAAAGACAGTTTGAGCACTCCCCAGAGACAAATTTAAACTCTCAGTTTCGCTCATTCCTATTTATAATTTCTAGTATAATTTAGGTTAATACAAACATTGTGAATTGTGTATGACATGTGTGAAAACAATGATTTTTCAGCACTTTTAACCTGGTCACACACTTATTGGCCCATTAGACACTAAAATAAGCTCCCTGAGCTTATATGTATATTTGGAAATATAGGTGTAAATATATTACAGACAGCAAAAGGCAAGAGACAGATTGACCATTCTGCGTCAGTACATCTAGAAACAATAATTAGAAAACTATCTCCCTACTCTGCCAACAATTGACTCAATGATTTCAGATCCAGAGCAAGGTGAACTCTCAGTATACAGTGCACTGCTCTACTAAGAAAAATGCAGAAACTCTACAGGGGTAAAAACAGAGTCAAGAATGCAGTGTCAGGCAGGGGGAAGTCTAGAACATATTATTAAATATCATATGTGCTGCCATCCTAGACCACAGTAAAAATACATGCCACCAGTATAATAATTCAGTTGTCATACCTGTATTTTAGATGCTGGATTGTGCCAAGACATTTAAAGGTTCCTTTAACCATTATGGCAAGACGGGTGCAGAGAGCTTCACATTCTTCCATACTAAAGAAAAAAGTAAAATACTTTTAAAACAAAAGGTTAATTTAGGTATCACTCTATAGTGTTGTTGAGTTTACATCAGAATAGTGGTAAAATACTCGGCACTCTTGCCTTACAGAGCTGGAACACACAGTTCAGTTCTCACTGAGCACACTATATGTGTTGCAGGGCCATCCCTACAATGAGGCAGCCTGAGAATATTGGGTCATGTGCCAGCTCTCGGATACCAGTGGCTGGCAGGAGCTGAGCAGGAAGCAGGACAGAACCTGCACCCCACTCCCCCCCCCCGGGAATGTGCACCACCACAACAGCAGGTCCCCCAGAATGTTCATCACCATAGGCACACAGCTCAGGTGGCTATAAGTCTAGGGGCGGCCTTAAGTAGGACAGAACCCGCCCCCCCCTCCCCCCCCCCGGTAATGTGCACAACCACAACAGCAGGTCCCCCAGAATGTTCATCACCATAGGCACACAGCTCAGGTGGCTATAAGTCTAGGGGCGGCCTTGTGTTTTGCATGGATTTCCTTCCTCAATTTAAACTCATGCTATGATGTTAATAGGCTTCTACTCAGATTAGTCCTACTTTGTGTCTTTGACCGGAGTAGGGTCATCAAAGAGGTCCAGTAAGCACTGGATTCATCTAAACTGACCAGATTTCTTAACACCAAAGCTATTTCAGACAACAACTCTTTCTGTAAAAGCAAAACCAAACCACTGTCATTGTTTTGGGGTTGCCTTACCAATAACAATCATATATTTGTGAAATATTTGAACCGGAGTAGAATGTGGCTACTTCTTGTCATCATGTCATAGTCATCAATCGTGATCCTGGTGATCTCAGAGCCATTGGTACTGAAATCAACACCCCTAGGATCAGCTTAATGTATATATTATATAAGATGACTGTAATTCTGCTGTGGATAGAGAGAGAGTGAGTGTGTGTGTGTGCAGCCAGTATTTAAACAAGGAAAACCACCTCTATTGCCAAAAAGTACGTGCCTACTGTGTCTAATGGCAATAATATTCTGTACTATTAGATCATTTGCTATTGATTTGTTTATACGGGACCATCAGACAGGACAATTCCAGTACTAAAATATACAATTACCTGTGAGAGGTTAGGACAACAGCTCGACCTTCTTTGATGATACCGACAATAGAATTCCACAGGAAGCGGCGAGACTGTGGATCCATTCCTGTTGTTGGTTCATCCTAAAGTAGCAAGTTACACATACTCATGGTAATTCATTGAAGGAATGGCAATGGCCCTTATTGCATATACCTAAATAAGTGAATTGCCATACTGACATTATATTATGGTTTCGTATATCTTTTATTTATTTCTATGAATAAGGGGATTTAAAAAAAAAACATTTAAATAATATTTATTTTTTAATCAGGTAAATAAGAAATATTGCATATTAATATTATGTAGTCGATTCTTAGCGGGGTCTTTTTTACACATTTTCCTCTGTCTCCTTTTTCTGTGTTAACATGTGTTGTCAGTTGCAAACAGAGTTCATTAGCTCAAGCTAAAATTTACAGACATTAACGAGTCAGAATGACTAATTCCTTATCACACAGCCCCACTCAAGGTTTTTAATCAGAGAAAGCTACTGCTATACAGTTTTGTAAGATAATTCTCTTGGAATCATGTATTAAATGTTTTTGTAGAAATGAGATTGTATACATATGTAAAAAATAAATATAATACATAAGTAAAAAGTAAAAACCAAAGAAAAATAACAAACTAGACCCAAAACTGTTTACCTTTAAAGAAGCCGTGATGGCCTGAACATACAGATTTAATTTGTGTAAAAATATTATATTTGTGTGTCACTCAGCTGTAGATCCTCAAATGACCTGTGAATTGGTGCTCACACTGTCCTTCCTTCTGGAGGGTGGCTACTTTTGTTCCCCATGGTCCCTGTGTGTGTTGTAAAGTAGCCACCGCTCCAAGCTTGCTCCCATGATGGACTACTATCTCAATACAAATTAGTAAATTAAACATGAGATTGTAGTCCATCACGGGAGCGACCTTGGAGTGGTGACTACTTTACAACACACAGGGACCATGGGAAACAAAAGTAGCTACCCTCCAGAGGTAGGGACAGTGTCAGCATGAATTCAGAGATGATTTGAGGATCTACAGCTGAGTGATATACAAATAAGATACATTTTTGTTAATTGTTTGAGTACTTTAATGCATTTTTAAGATGTAACTCCTGAGTTTAGTTTCACTTTAAGCTACCTTATGCATCATTAAGCTGAAGTTTGATATTTCTTTGTAGACTCTCCTTTATATCCCTGTTTTCATGTTATAATGTAGCATTGCTGGCAGTAAAACTAAAATACAAAGAGCTCAGATGGTGGACAAAAAGTATAAAAAGTCACTATTGAGCAACAGACATATCTCTGGCTAAAGCATTAAATATGAATTCCAAACAAACAGCTAAACACACAGATGTTTACCCTGCCAACGTTAGAAGAGACTCTGCAGAGGCGGATATCAAGTCAAATGTAGGAACTAACACTCTTGTATTTACAGGTGAAACTCGAATAATTAGAATATCTTGAAAAAGTAATTGCAGTAAGTGCTGCAAAAGGGGCCCAAACCAAGTACTGAGTACATATGCATGCTTGTACTTTTCAGAGGTCCGATATTGTTCTATGTACAATCCTTGTTTTATTGATTGCATGTAATAATCTACTTTTTTGAGGTTGTGGATTTGGGGTTCTTGGGGTTTTCATGAGCTGTAAGCCATAATCATCACAATTATGACAAATCACGGCTTGAACTATCTTGCTTTGCATGTAATGAGTCTATCTCATATATTAGTTTCACCTTTTAAGTTGCATTAGTGAAATAAATTAACTTTGCACAATATTCTAATTATTCGAGTTTCACCTGTATATCATACATTAAACAATGTGCTAAAAAAAAATCAAAGCTACAATATTTTGTGCGTTTGATAACTACTATTTGTCTACACTATCCTTTTCATCCTCAAGCAGTGGAGAGCAACCTAGGGCATGCGTGCCACGTTGGGCACACAATGCTATTTTCAGTGGCACTCAGAAAATCACAGCTCTACACAATTTGAAATTTCCCATTAAAATATACCTGTAGTAAAATGTGTTAAATATTATATTAGTGGAGTATCATCAAAGTTTATTACATTCATAAAAAACAGATTACATGAACTCAAAATATGTTTCCTGTGGACATGAAAATTAATGGAGCTCCGCAAAAGACTTAAAAAACCCCATATGATGCTGTGTGACCTTGTGGGCTTTTGGCAGCGTTTATCAGACAAATTCCTATGTTTGAAAAAGTTGGCCCTTGCATTAATCTCTGCAGTTGGATCGACATATATGGTGATCAGTGTCCATCTTCAGCTGAAATTAATGTCCTACACCCCAGACATAGCACAACTAAGCTATGAAGAAAAAAAAAACAGGGACGGGGATCACACTGAAACTGTAAGTCTAGTTTACTGTTCAGTACACATTAATGGTAAATCTGAACATGTTTTGTCCACTAGTTACTGGCAATGTAAAATAAATGTATTATTATTATTATTATATTAACAGTAAAGCTATGAGTGGAAAATGTAAAAATAAGCTATATGGCTAAGCTATTGTTCACAGTCACACTGGTTGTCTGATGGTTGTAAACTGACAACAATGTGGAAAAGGTTGCCAACCCCTGTACAAAAGCATACAGAAGTGACTAGGGTGACTTTCCAACATATGGTATTAGCAGCAATAATACATTTCCCCACCCCCACCCCCACCCCCCCAACTGTCCTTCATTTAGACCAAATCCCTCTGTCCCGCGTTCCTCCTCTGTTATCCCTCTTTTTGGTCTGATGTACAGATATCAATGAAAATGTTCTTTGTAACAACTAGAAGTGCTTTTGTGCACTGAACCTTTATCTTATCTTTTAATTATCCTGTTTGCTATTTAGAGAAGCCAGTATAAAGGAAAAGTAAAGTGTAAGTAGTGTTAAGTAGTGTTTTTCCCCATAGTTCTTCTAAGGGTCACGGGAGGACATAAACTAGCGTCCTCCCGTGAGCCAAATCTCAGTATATCGCGAGCTACAGCTCACGGTATACTGAGACCGCCGCAGCCGGGATGGATCCCGACATTACTGTGGAGATCCACCCAGCTGCGTGAGTGACAGCTGGGTCTGCCTATCTGTACCCGCCCCCTCCCCCCACCCGCCAG